TTTTAGTTTTAAATTCGACAAAATATCCCTTCAAATTTATTACATTTGTGGGTAAAGTCATTATTACATTTGTGGGTGATTCAAAATTATTACATTTGTGGGTAAAGTGGTTATTACATTTGTGGGTAAAATTATTACATTTGTGGGAAAAGTGTTATTACATTTGTGGGTGTTGTTACATTTGTGGGTAAAGTGTTATTACATTTGTGGGTGTTATTACATTTGTGGGCATTATTACATTTGTGGGTGTAACAGGGGGGTGTCGCACCCCCCCCCCCCCCCTTGGCGACGCCCTTGCTTATAGCTACTTACCCCCTCTATATAGCAAACAATGCCTAAGCGGTACCCGTTGGTCCCCCATGATCCCTTTTTTTTAATGTTAATTGAGAGGTTATTTGATGAGATAACCACATGTCAGTGACCAAGAAGGGAGGTCTAATCCATCCTGGCCAAACTAGTTCAGATAGGCTTTAAAGCCAATGTTGCCGAGCTTTGTGTATACTGTATATTCGTTGATCATTAGTTATCCGATTGTTACTTTGTATGGTGTAGCAACACACCGTGAATCTGAAATGGTACAGGAAATAATTGTCCTCCTGATAGTGCAGGGGTGGGGGGGGGGTGAAGTAAAAAGGTGCCCTGTTATTCAACTCAACTCCTGGAATTATGAATTATTTTTGTAGTCGTAACAAATATGTTTGCAAATGATTTCAAGTTAAAGTAATAGCTACACGATTATCTAGGGTCCTGTATGTTTAATAATAGAGACATGAAACACAAACAACAATCTCTGTCTCCCTTCTCTTTCCATATCATATCCTCAAATCTACAAACCTCCAGAAAACACATAAATGGTCATTGAAACTCAGCAGGTATGTTGGACAATCAATCTTTAATGGAAAAGAAATACAAAATTGTAGCTAACTGGTAGAAAAGTTGACTTTCAAAAATCAGAAATAATACCTACATTTAAGTGACATTACACATTATGGATGCTGGTTATCTCTGAAAAATATCACACCATTGATAAGGAATGATTATGAAGATATACTGAACTACTTCACATGTAGTATTTAGATGTACGTAATGTAAAACCAGTCCAAAGGGTTATGAAAAGCAAACAAACATAGGAGTAGAAAAGGTGTGGAATCCCTCATTTGGATATGACATCTATAAATTTTGAGTTATTCATACCATACCCAAAGAGGGTCCTTTTATTTATATTCAAAATCATCAAGATTTTTCCCCTTAGTAATCAACTATCACCTAGGATTGTTTATTGTTATATATCAAAACAAGTTAATTAATAATTCAACTACTTAAGCAAAGATATTAAGATGGTAAAAAGCATCTTGAAGATAACCTAGCAAGAAATCTTACGAGTGATACCAAAATCCATTTTGTATTTCACCCTGTAGCAGGTATAACACCCACACTAGTACATATCAGACTAGGTGATTTTATGTTTTCTTTAGGCTGCTTGTGAGATCTGTATATACATAGTCGGGTTAACTGGACAATGTCATGAACGTTAAGAAATTTACATTTCAGATAACTTTTATAATCTATAACAAATGTATTGTATATAACATAGCTGAAGTTTCTCTTCACTTGATATGGCTTCTTTCATATATTTTATAACATCAAAATAGAATTCCTATATATTATTATTACATAAAAATATTGACCTACCTTTTGAATGTCCTTACATAAGTACTTACACACATAGTGATATGTGACGGACCGGTCATCTTTAAGATGACTAAAAATGGCATGAACATCTACTGGTACTTTGTAAAAATTGGGGGGGGGGGGGGGGGGCATGGAGCGCAATGAAGTGAAAGTGTCATGAACAGCAAGAACCCAGAATGTTTTTACAGATTGTATTAACAAATTACCCCCTAAATGACTTTTGTGGACAATTATTCAATTTTGTCTTTCCATGTTGCAAAAGTTTCATAGAAAGACATTTTCTTTCTTTTAAAACACTAAATAGTTAGATTTTGGTTGAAACTTTGAACCTTAACATCTAAAACATTATCAAATACTATTAAATTGCCTTTTGTTTTCCACCAGTAAAGTTTGAATAGTAAATGATCATGTCAATAGGCCTAGTTTGCATAATATCTGGTCAGGGCTCAACATTACTAGGGGTTCTATACTCACACACACACACACACACACACCCTTCCTTGACCCCTAAACTCTTAACTTCTTACAGATAACAAGGAGTTAATGCACCCCATTACTTTGTTCGACACCAAATGGTTAAAAGCCCGTAAGAAGTAAAGATTTAGGACGACTCAGAGAGACAGAAGTCAGATTACATGCTACTCATATTAAGTATTCATAATCAATAGAATTCATTGTCTCTCTGATTAGTCATATTGACTGTCCCCCAAATGGCCCACTTCTACCCTTCTATATTCCAACACGATTACTGTTTACACAATTTAACATACATATTACAGATACACTCAAATACATGGAAAAAGAAAGCTATCTAGCTATCTGCAAGAAGATGTGTTGTACAATGTTTGAGATGAGAATAAACCAACAAAATACAATGGGTCTAATTCATCAAACTATCACTAATTTATTAACCATCATGACGTATACCACCTTTGGAAATGTGCTAACATTACAATGACATATTACATGATCAGATCTAGATGTTTGTAATCGATACAATATGCCAGAAAACAATTTGTTGCAATTACTTGATAGGAATTGCTAGGCTGTTGCTACATGCAGTTTGTTAATACAGCCCAATAAAATAAAGTTTTAGTTATGAATGTGCATAGTGTGAGCTCACACACCTATCTCACTAAGAGTAAAATGCATAGTGATCTGAAATCATTTAAATGATCTTGTCTTGAATTTGTATAGGAATGATGTACATGCTGGTCATTATTCATGATTTCCAGACGAGAGAACACATTCAGCCATTCTTTATATTAAATTTTCATGATTTGAGATTTAATGGAAATAAGAGTTTCTTATTATTGCTATGTGTGCCTGATACAGGCTAACACATTTAATCATTCAAACTCTTAGCCCAACAGAACCATTTACATGTACTGTGATCAGTATGGTACCCTGTTTTCAACAAAAATTAACTCTTAACAATCAACCTTTTATCTCATCACCTAAAGCTTAACATACAAAGTTTTAAACTTCAGTTATAAAATATCTATTGCATCAACATAATCATTTAAAGTAAACTTTTAAACTGATTGAGAGTACACATGCTATCCTAACACAAGACAACTACACATGAAAGACTACACAGCACAGATAAATGTTTAGTCCTAGAAATATAACAACAAACAAGGCATACAAGTAAATGTATTTATAAGGCAGCTTTAAGCCCACCACACACTACACTATCGTCCTGCGATCTAATTTACAAAGAAATGGCAATTGCATCAGATAGGAAATCAGAAACAAAAAGCATCTTCTTTTTTAGCTTCTAAATAATGATAAGAATACTAACACATTACTGTGCATTGAACTCTCCTAGTCAGAATAAAAGCTGCATCAGCTTCAAATCATAGACAATCACACTACTGGCCTGAACTAAGCACTGGGATTCTGAACCGATTAAGCCTTTCCTATTCAGATCCTTTGTCACGCAGATCCTTTATAATGCAGTTGACCTAAAAACTGATAAGATTATCATCTTTAAGCTTCCTGGTTTCTAGTGATAAATCATTTGGCAATGCTTATCATTTTTAATGAATGTCTACTTTACAAAATTCAGCTTGCATTCTATTAACATTCTGATAACTTTCAATATTTTTCTTTGGGCTAGCTTGGAGAGATTATTAAAAGTATAAAAAAGATCAAGGCATAGTTTGATTTGATACCACTATCATCTCAAAACAGTAAACACAAATTAGCCTCTTTTATATAGTTATAACTGAAAGGTGCAATCATACTGACACAAGTTTAAAGGATCCCATTTTACAACATTGTAATACTCTGCTATGGCACATGAATGACGGTCAGAAGTTACGCTATAATTTGCACTTGCTCATTTCATCATAATTATTTCTTCTGGTACATAGATTAAGGATGAAAGACTTGTTTTTGTTAATGATCCCTGAAAGTTCATTTATCAATTCTGTCCTGAGCACATAGAAACAAGAGCTTCATTTTTGTTACAGCTACATGTATAACAGACGATTGGGAATCTTTTCCACCTAGCCTTAAAAAAACAAAGAGGCATATCACTACATCATATGTAGTAAACTGATACACCAAAACTACATGAACAATGAATGTGGTCTTTATATAGAAAAAGAAGCATAAAAATAGAATCATTTTTCAATGCAGGGTCCACATAAAAAGTGATTAGTACTACTACTTCCCAAACCAAAAAGGAGATTTTTAAATCATGTTAATCTGTTGAAAGATAACTTGAATGGTATTTTCACTTACATGCCAGTTTACCATTCTTCTATACCACACACACACTTTCTTAGTACTATAATAAGCTCCAACAAAGTAAACTGAGATAGATGAAATACAACAAACATGGAAGTTTATCTTCAATGTAGTTGATATAATTTGAGAAACTGTGTAAGCAGATGGAGGTGTGGGAGGGGGTGAACCACCCTTCTTTCAATAAAAAACTATACATTTTATACTAAACACACTCACTTTAATTTACCCTGTACTAATAACTAAGAATCACAGTAAATATCTGTCCTCTTAACAGAGTTTATATCCTCTAGAGCTTTCCATACATCTATTTTTAAAACCCAGACAATGCCTTTAGATACTGCCTCAGACCAAATCCTTCTATGAAGGTCATTTTATGAAGGTCACAAATCAAACAAGAGACGTCCTGGTGAAAAAGCTATTAACATATAATAAGTTTTTGAAGGTTAAATCAAGTGAAATAACCTCTATAATTTGAAAAAATTCTCATAATTGCAATCTAAAAAAAAAAATATATAGTTTCTATAATCACACAATAGACACTACAGTACCCATCACTTTCTCAGGGTCTAATTATTCATGCAGTGATTTGAAGCAGTAGCTGTTCATATACATAAAACATGATCTTTTTTTAACACTTGAATGTTTTCTGTTCTGTACGCTCTACATGATTCAAGAGGCTATTCTCACTAATTATTTATATTATCTTAACATGATTTTCTGATCGAGATACAAGATGAAACACTCCATAACTTGATACAAGTTAACATGTCTAATCAGAGGAGAAAATGGGCATGCCAGGGGCGTTACCTAAAGAAAAACATACCATACCCTAAACATAGTTTTCAGAATACCATCCCAAATTATTTTCTTGTAACAGTGATTATTCCAGAGCCTTTACAATGCAGATCATACAAACTTAGTATGCATAGTATTGACACCCAATCAGATGGATTAATCAACATGTATTCTTGCATTATACCATCAACAAAGTCAGTTATATCTACAGATTTATAAACATATACATGTACTTTCACATTTTAAGCAATACAATTGAATTCAGAGGTAATTACGTATCACTACTTCCTGAGAATCCTGACCTATCACCATGGAGATCTAACAACACTCTGGTGACATTGCTCCAGGCTTTAGTCCCTCTAATAGAGAAGGTTACATGTATAACATGGGTTGTGATTAGCTGTTAGGTAGAGTTTAGGGTTAGGGTTAGGGTTAGGTGCCTGCGTTGAAGTCATGAGAGGAGTTTGCAGCAATTATCATCAAAACATATGTCACCCAAATTGTATTCACATCCGATTCAAGTGATATCACTATACAAACACAATCAGTTCATCTACAGATATATATACATATACTCTCACAGCTCAGAATGATAACCTGATCATGAGAAAGTAATATACCACATTCCAGGTATCTAGGCAACATTACCAACGACCATGTCATAGGATGGAGGCTTGCTAGTCATCTCAAGGTCAAGGTCATGGTCATGATCAAGGTCATAGTGTCCTTCACATTGCTTGATGTGAGTTTCATCATCAAACTGAGCCTTGAGACCATCCAACAGACGCTGGCAAAGAGAAAAGGAGAAAAAGAGTAAAGTGTGTAAATTGTATATTTCATTTTTGACCAATAAATCTACTGAAGAAACACGACAAGTATCAACATTTATTTGTTATTTTTGGAGGTACAGAGCAAAAGGACATGTCGAGATATTAGGAAAGACTAGATATATTGCCTTCTGCCAAGTCATTTATATGTGGAAAATCAGGGGGAAATGTGTTGAATAAATGTGATATCACGTTCATTTGGCTAATCAAACTTTCTGGTGTGATTGATTGATTTCATATAAGGCTGTACCATCACATCTTTTCATTCATTTATGGTAGAAATGGAATTTCATTAAAATGGTAATGTTGTGAAAGAAATACAACAGTAGGTTTTTCTCTTTAATACTAGCCTCTTATATCAGATCTCTCACTACCCATTCAGGGTTACGCCCTACAAAAATGATTTCAGACAAATGGGCCTGTACGTGAAATCATTTGCTCCAAAGCCATCATCTTCCTGATTGAAGATTACATGTACTTTTCTAACTTCTAGATAAGAACAAAGTGTTTACAAGACCATGTGCATGTATGGTCATACCACAATGAAACTATCAAGGCACTCATTCTCGTTCTCCTATTTGGATGGTAAGAACATTCAAGAAATGCTTTCTGCACAAGACTGGTGAACGTTAAATGGACATTTTGAGAAGGTGCCATTCAATTTCAAATTTGCAAAATCTCATTTACACAAGTACTACTTAAAGTTGATATTTTGAATGTAGAATGCCAGATCCCTTAATTTTGGTGATACATTCAGGTTGAATATATCAACAGACCTGCCAACCTCTGGAGTTCAAAAACTGTATTCTTTAATCCCAAAAGTTGTATTCTTAAAAATAAACACAGATTGTTACGCGGATCAATATGCCTCTTACAGTTCCTACATACAGGAAGAATTTTTTTTATGGATCATTAGTTGAATATGCATGCATCAACTCATTGACTTCTGAATCCTCTCAATCTGGAATGAACTGAATATCCGGGCTAGTACTACGTTGTCAAGGTTTACAACGCTTTGTCGTAAATCTCTTGTTGACAAGATTTTAGTACATACTGGCTGAGTAACCTTTGTTTAGATTTGTTTACATGGCTGATAGATTCTTACTTTCAGCACTCCTCGGTCATGGTCATGTCTTGACAAAGGAGTGTTGAATCATATGGCGTCATCAGCATTGTCTTTCTTTGCTTCTTCTTCGTTTTCTACTAACTTCTTTTTTCTTCTTCTTCTTTCCTTCTAGCTGTGTTTGTGTGGATGTATATATGTGTATGTCATGTGTGTTGATGACTGAATATTTGTATTACATGACTTATTTTATGTATGTATAATTTGCTAAAGGGGCCCTGTTTACAAGCTTTTGGTTCTTTAAGGATCCTTAACCTATATTACCTTGTATATGATTACATTTTATGTACGATTTTTAAATGGATGAATAAATGAAATGAAGAATAAAAGGACCAAGTGAATGGCTTTGCTTACATCTTTCATGGAACCCTTAGACGTAGCCAATGTATGGATGGCACCGATAGGCATACACAGGATAGATAGAAGGGCCACACACCAACCAAGGCCTTGGCACCAAGCAGGGTACACGTAATCACCATACGTCACTGGTTTATAGTCCACAATCGTGAAGATTAGGATGGCCTGACAACAAAATATATAAAGAAGACAATTAAACCTTATGGTGCAATTGAACCGACTACCGGTACATGGTTCTCTTCACCATCTTCCATCACCAGTACCAAGAACATAGAACACCATCATCATTATGATCGCAACCACCACCACCACCATTATTTTTTATCATCATCCTCACCACCATCATCATTATCGTCACCATCAGCATCATCATCTAGAACTATGACCTACCAGAATGAGGAGGGGTGAGATGATCAACCAGCAGGCTCTGAAGTAGATGTTAGGATAAGACCCTGTCATAGCCTGCCAGTATCATCATCATCTAGAACTATGACTTACCAGAATGAGGAGGGGTGAGATGATCAACCAGCAGGCTCTGAAGTAGATATTAGGATAAGATCCTGTCATAGCCTGCCAGTATCATCATCATCATCTAGAACTATGACTTACCAGAATGAGGAGGGGTGAGATGATCAACCAGCAGGCTCTGAAGTAGATGTTAGGATAAGATCCTGTCATAGCCTCGATGTTCTTAGCAAGACGATTACCACCTACAAAGGAGATATAATCAAGAACTCATTTTGAGACTCTCCAATCTGTGCTTGAATGAAACAATGATTTACTCTGAATATTTCATTCCCTTTAATTGTTTTTATTTCAAAGTACCAAGATTCTTACAAACATTTCTCTCTATATCTGAAATGACTTTACTTATTTTCCTTCTAATCGTCCTCTTTGTGTGTAAACATATCTAACTGAGCTGATGAACATTGCCAAGTATTTCATGACATCTTGATTTTGTAGAATTTTTGTAGAATTTTATTGACTCTTTGACCCCCTCTCGGGGTATGAGAGTACAAACAAACATAAAAGTATATATAACAATGCATGACTTATCAATACAATTCACATACATTATACATAGATAATGACACAAAGATAAAAACGATATTGATACACTACATAATATCAAAACATGATTTAAACAATTGAGTGACAAAAATGTTATTTACATTTACAAAGATGCACAAATAATATCACCTTGGTGATGTAATCCTCTTACATTCACCATCATTTTTATGAGCTTAAACTGGAATAGTCATTTCAGATTGAATTTTGATAGTGCCCATATTGTCTAAATCATTTAGGTTCTGTTTCATACATGCAGTCATGTATTATTCCCTACACAAACTTACAGTGGTTCTAGTTCCAATCGGATTGTTTCTTAATTCCTTATCAATTACTTTTGAGTATTCAATACTGCAGTTAAATTCTATAAACAGAAATTCAAACTGAAAAATGGAAACTATTCCAACTTCATGCTTGTATTCTAGGAATCTCAAAAAAATGTATATTATGGAATCAAATTATACGTAAATTGATCAGGCATCCATTGAGCATAATTCTGTAAGTTTAATTTTCATAGCTATTTATCAAAATACATGTAGGGCAGCTTCAAGACCGAAGAAGTCTGACTGTGTCACTTTTTGAGGATAGTGATCAACTTACCATACACCCAGCATACAGCTACAGCCTCGCCCATAGCTACAAAGAAAAGAGAGATGACTGCTGTATACCAATCCATGATCTGGAAGAAGTACATCCCTCCCTGCAGAAATAAACATGACAGAACAAATGAGATTAAGACCATGTCATGACGATAATTATGATGATGACGATAATGATGAAAATGGCGAAGATGATGATGATGATGGGGAAGATGATGATGATGATGATGATGATGATGATGGGGAAGATGATGATGATGATGATGATGATGATGATGATGATGATGATGATGATGATGATGGGGAAGATGATGATGATGATGATGATGATGATGATGATGATGATGATCATGATCATGATGATGGTGATAATGATGATGGTGGTGTTGATGATGATGATGATGATGATGATGATGATGGTGGTGGTGATGATGATAATGATAACGATGATGATGGGGAAGATGATAATGATGAAAATGGTGCTGCTGATTGTGATGATGATACTATGACTTTTTGATTTATAACATTCATAATAATTACTGAAACTATTTTTCAAAACAATGAGCATGTCTGTAAGAGGTTCTCTTCATTCAGTGTAGTGAAATACATGATGAAAAATCAGTCCAAAATCTAATGGGAAGCAAAGTCAGATAAATGGTGACAATTTAAAGCAATCTATTACAAATTTCTTTTTTGTTATGGAGATACATATCCAATGTATCTACGAAATGAAGGCTTAAGAAGCACACAAAGATGCATACAAAGACTTATCTTGATGATGTTTGGTAGACCAAGGATTAGACAGGTATGTAACTCAGAGCTACCAAGATTGATCAAACCTACACTTATCTTGGTGCTATCAGGTTTCAAGTAGACTGAGAAACTTGAGTTACCTAGAAAGATCACACCAGCACTTATCTTGAAGATGTGGGGTAGCCCAAAGTTTAGACTAGTAACAAAGAGCTTCCTAGATGGACCAAACCTAGACTTTGTTCTGTAATGTTGGGCAGCCTTTAGGACTAAGATTAGTAACCTAGAACTGTTTAAGGACCAAACCTAGACTTTGTTTGGTAATGTTGGGTAGCCTTTAGGACTAAGATTAGAATTGTTTAAGGACCAAACCTAGACTTTGTTTGGTAATGTTGGGTAGCCTTTAGGACTAAGATTAGTAACCTAGAACTGTTTAAGGACCAAACCTACACTTACCCTAGTGATGTTAGGTAGACCAAGGAGAAAGGAGATGATGCATATATAGAGGACCAGGATCTCTTTCCGGTTGAAATAGAATTGACGAAGCTTGGGGAAACCTTCATTGAAGGTCGCTACCACCACCTCAACCATAGCAAACTGAGTATAATAACAGAGAACATGTGACATATTATAACAAAGTTGTCAATTTGTTACTGATTTCAACTAATATAAATATTTCTCCCTTGATGTCACTATGACAATACACACAACTATTTATTTTATTTTGTGTATGTCTTTTGTATCTCAACTGAGATCGAGTTATGTTTATGTTTTAACATGGAATGTTTGTTTTGTAAACAGCTACCTTAATGCATATAATACTATCTGAACATGTAGGTGCAGCTTATAGATATCCCATTGTGCCTTTCTAATTAAAGCTTCACTGCAAAGCAATATTCTATTTTGGTTCACTTTTAGGGCTATATTAAACATGGTCTCAAATGTGGTGCCATTTGTTGCGGTAATTCAAGAACTTTCTCAAGATCTATTTCATTGATGAATTTACTTCAGTCTCTTTAGCCGAAATGGATTGTAACCATCACTAATTTATCTATCACATGATTATATCTCAATGACTTGGAAGCATTACATATCGAATAACTAGAGAAATGTAATTGTGTCATCTTTCAGTGTCTGTTACATGAAATATATAAGCAACTGATAGCATACTTTTTTTTTAAATCCCTCAATACTCTTGATATTAACACCAACAAAAGATGATGGTGATGCAATCAATAATACCACAGAGGATAATGATAATTGGATATCAGGGAAGGGGAGGGGGGGGGGGCGCATTACCCCGACCCCCTTCCCTGGATCCGCCACTGACCACAATGTAATTCTGTTCTTTCCCTTGAAACTCAACTAACCTGACTATCTATTCCCAGACAGACCAGCATGAGGAAGAAGAGTACAGACCATAACTGAGGAACAGGCATGGTGTTAAATACAACCGGGTACACTACAAACACCAGACCAGGACCTGCACAGTGAAAGAAAAACAATCAGTGATTAGCTTAGTTTTTGTTGTTGTGTAGACCAGCTAGGGCACTGTTTCATAAAGCTTGATATCACAAGCAGTAACAATAACAGTTACTAGTTCCTGAAAATAATGCATTTGAAATGGTTTTGTGGGCACATTTGTTACAGAAATGTGACACTTGTTACTGATAGAGAGTTTTGATAAAACAGCTAGGGCCTGGACCTGTGCATTGATGATTAGCTTCAAATTAAAGCAGATAATGTTAAGAGAGATCTTAGATACCCTCACAGAGTCAAAGCTAAAGTTGAACTTAGTTTACTGATTATGGGACACCAAGTGTCAACTCTTTTTTATACTCCCTACAACTCATTGTCATTCTGTAACAAGATGATAATGATGAGTCCAGTCATGAAGGAAATATGTCATAGGGACACAGTTTTAGTTTGGTCACTTATAGAATCATGGTCATATTGTTACCAGATGAAGAGGTCTCTGTACATGAGTAAACTAACTCTACCCACTTTAGCCAGAGTTCACAAAGTTAATTTATGAATACTCGTCAATATCTTGCCTAGAATGTATCTCACCTTGTACAACTACATCCTCAATGTCAGCTCCTTGGACCTTAGCTATGTAACCCAGTGCAGAGAAGATCACACAAGAAGCAAAGATACTCGTGAAACAATTGATCCCACAGATGGTCAGAGTATCTCTGCAAAAAGAAGGAGCAACAAAGAAAACACACTGAAAACATGACAAATCTCCACAATATTAATTCTAGGGAATTATTTTGGTGTGCAATATACTTTTTGGGAAGGTACATGTTTTATTCACAAGTTTTCTCGTCATATTGTTTGCATCTATTCCATTCAATGGCTAATTTCTCAAATCCGATTTCAAAGTATTGGAATATGATCAAAAGTACCATCTGCCTTACAAGGCTAGGATTCAAATCTAAACCAGCCTGGGGATATTTTTATCACGGGTAGATAAAGACACCTCTACAATTTGTATTGGTAAATTTTAACATCTAAGACTGATATTACTTAAGTTCAGTTCAGTTCAGTTCATTTATTTCAATCATAAAACCATAACATAATATATATACAAAAGTAACATGAAACAATCGTAATCTTACAATTCTGGAATTAAGAAATCGGAGACTAAAGAGGAAGTTTGAAAAAACTTGTAAGTAAAATAGTCCCCTGACATAAATAATAAATAACGAGATTACATGTTTGTACACGTTACAACAATAATAACAATATACAAATAAGAAACTACACATTATAGATACACACACACACAAACACCATTCACACACACACACACACACACGCACACACTTGCAAGGTAGAACAACTAAAAAGAAAGAGTTAAGGGAAATAAGAAGAGACCAACTGTCTCTTCAATAGAACTTTAAAGGATGATATAGTTGTGCATAATGTTAGCTTATCAGTTAAATCATTCAAAATACGGGGACCATTATGTCTAAAAGAGTAAAGCATTAACTGGGTAGAGACCTTTGGATAATGATATTTGATACAGGAACGAGTATTATATGAATGAACAGATTTATTAAGGATAAACATTTGACAAACTCTTTTAGGTACATAATTATTATAACATTATACATCATAATAGCACTTTGAATTTTATGTATATCATAAATATTGAGGGTTCTTAAACGAAAAAACAGGGGACGTGAATGAGCTTGATAATGGGAGTTTGTACATATTCTTAAAGCTTTCTTTTGAAGTTTATGGAGAGGTTCTAGTTTAGTTGTTCCCACACCGGCCCAGGTGATATTACAGTAATGTAAGTAAGGCAAAATTAAACAATTATACAACATAGACAATACTTTTTCAGGCAGAAATACATGTAATTTACAAAGAACACCAATGTTTTTAGATATTTTGTTAGTTATATACAATCGATGATCCTGAAAAGATAAAGTATCATCCAAAAGGATACCAAGAAATTTAACAGAAGAGCACGCATTCAAATTTATATTGTTTATAAATATTTGTACATCATTAATATTGCAAGGATTAGTTTTATTATGAAAATAAAGTACACTTGTTTTGTCATAATTTATAATCAATTCATTAGCATTAAACCATTCAACAACCTTTTCTAATTCTTTATTTACTTCCGACATTAATTTATAAAAATCATTATGAGACGCAATCAGGTTTGTGTCGTCAGCAAATAAGACAAAATGAAAAAAAGATAAAGCAGAACTAAGGTCATTTACGTAAATTAAAAATAGGAGAGGACCCAGCATGGAGCCCTGTGGGACTCCATACTGGATCCTCTCTCTGTCAGAAATAAAGCTGTTGTATGATGTGAATTGAATACGATCACTTAAATAGTCCCTGAACCATTCCCAAGCAATACCGCGTATACCAAAATGTTTTAATTTAGTGAGGAGAATATCGTGGTTAATGACATCGAAAGCTTTCGACAAATCAAGAAACAAGCCCCAATAATGCAATTTATTATCTAATTTATTGAGTATGTAATCATGAAGGTCAATTAGAGCATGTCCACATGATGAGTTTTTTCTAAAACCATATTGAGAAACAGTCAGAAGATTATTTTTATTAATATGATTAAAGAGCCTATTATAAATTAATTTCTCCAGTATTTTAGAAAAACAAGGGAGTAATGTTATTGGTCGATAATTGGAGAATATGTGGGATCACCTTTTTTAAATATGGGTATGATTTTTCCTACTATAAAATTCTTGGAGACTCTTCCTGACAAGAAGAAAGGATGACATATAAAAACAATTGGTTTGACAATGAAATGTATAACATGTTTCATAATGAACTGACTTATTCCTTCAAAATCTGTGCTCTTGGTTGAATTGAGCAATTTGACAATATTCAAACTTCTGTTACATTGGTAGGATGAAAAAATATTTATTTGCTACAAGGATCTCGTAAAAATGAACTAAAATTGGATTTCGGTTTCTGAATATGTTCAGATTTTAGTTTTGTAGCAATACTAGAAAAATAAGAATTAAATTCATTTACAATCAATTGACGATCAGTAAACTTGTCCTTATCTTTAAGAAAATAATTAGGATATTGGCATTTTCTTCGCTTTCCTAATAAATCATTAATAACTTCCCAAGTTTTATACATATTATTCCTATTCTTCTGTAATAAATCACAAAAATATTTTTTTCTTACAGACTGTAGGATTGAGTTTAATTTATTTCTAAATTTTTTATATTTACATTCATTGCTGTTGCTTCTTCTCTTACAAAATGTTTTATATAATCTATACTTTTTATTAATCTTTTTTAACAGTGAAGGGATTATCCAAGGTTTTCGTGGCAGTTTTCTTTTCTTCACTTTAAGAACAACAAAGTTATGATCATATGAAGTTTTAAATATGTTTAAAAATGAATTATAGGCCTCATCTACATCACATTTAATCTACATTAAATGCTATTCCTGTTTAAAAAAAAAACATTTCTATGCATTTCTGAAAGACTTTATTACCCCAGTTTTAGGCCTGGCAAACCAGACAAGTGCTCAGAACAGGAGCATATTCAAGAAACAAATCTTACCCATTTACTTCAGCAAGGTAGTAAACTTGCTTATATATATATATATTCAGGCGTGAAGAAAATGGTCTAGGAACTTGAGACGTAGCTGTACTTTTATATATATATATATATATATAAAACCACTAAAATAGAACAGCTTTATATTGTAATTCTCAGGAGAGTTGTACTAGAAGATGACTTACCTAACTATAGACCTATTCTTGAACTCATTGTAGCTAGAAAGTGCTATCATAGATCCAAAGGCGATCCCAATCGAGTTGAAATTCTGAGCGGCTGCAGCTTCCCAAACCTACAGTTCATACAAAAAGTTATTAAAAACTCTCAGTTATACATATTCCTTGTCCTTTGTTAATTGACTTCCATTTAAACAAGAACTTCTTGTCAGACTCTTATGCAACACAGTATTGCCTATTGTTACAAAGCAGTACCTATACAATAACAAAAACAAGTCCAACAAACATGTCAGCATACATGTAAATTACATATCAGGTTGAAATGAAGTACTTGCTATGACAAATTATACTATCTCCCAATTGTCTACTTTGATACTAATGTATATCGATTACATGCATTCGAAAAGTTACATAATAGTGATTCTCATGGAGTTTATCAAATAACAGGTGTTATCAATCCCCAAATGTGGACTTTACTTTTATGACCAATGTATGCACCTTCCACCCACTTGAAAAGAACCGGCCATAAAAAAAAAAGTCTATTATAAATTCAAAATTCAAAAATGATATTAATTAAGCTATCCAGGTTCTCACAGCAAGTTGTCAGTTGGACACCGAGCTAACTGCTGCTGTGTGCGAGATTTGTAAACACAACAAAAAATAGTCATTCCGTTGTAAAATCATAAGTGCAATGTACTGTATGTGAGCTATAAGGTAATGCACATGGAAACAGATAAGAGTATACAGTAGGTTTGCGGGTGCACCATGTGAGTGAGAGAGAGAGAGAGGGTTGAGGAGTCCTGAAAAAAGGACTCTGACTCAGTAATCTTTCTTGGGGGAGTGTAGTCCTTAAAAGGACTGTTTGTTATCTTTCTTAGCATATAGTTCTAAGGAGAACTATAGCACTTGGAGAGGATGAGTTAAGAAAGATAACAAACAGTCCTTTTCAGGACTACACTCCCCCAAGAAAGATTACTGAGTCAGAGTCCTTTTTCAGGACTCCTCAACTCTCTCTCTCTCTCTCTCTCACATGGTGCACCCGCAAACCTACTGTATATCTACATCACCATGCAAGCCGACACTTACAAGCAGCATCTAGATAAGAGTATGTCTGTAATATGGTTTGCATGAGGGTTCAGGGGCATGTTTCATAAAGCTGTTCGTAAAGTTACGCATGAATTTTACGAATGACTTGAATATGAAGAGCTAAATGGGATTCCCAAATCCTTTTAATTGCATATAAGCTAAAGCTGAAATATGCAGATGTAGTTAACCTTATCTTTATTAACAAAACATTTTAATGCTAAGTGTATTTTTGGCTACAATTCAATTGAGATTATGGGAAATACAGTCACACTTTGTTAAAATGTCAGGAAAAACTTTGGGCATCCCATTTAGCTTTTCATATTCAAATCATTTGTAAAGTCATTTGTAACTTTACGCACAAGCTTTAGGAAACACCCCCCTGGTTATCTAAATATATCTACATTAAAATGATGACAAAGGAGGTGAAATTTGATGAAACACTTTTTCCAATGGGATAGATAAGTATGCACATGTTTGTAAATTTTGGAAGACTTACAGATGCTTTCTTGAGGAGCTCCCAGCGTGGTTTGAAGAGGAAGCTGATACCATCGCCAGCTCCATCCAAGAGGGCACCATTTATCAAGAGTACAATCAGAACCAGGTAAGGGAAGGTGGCTGTGAAATACACAACCTAGTCATGGGCGGGTAAGAACAAATCAATACCAAAATAACTTTTAAGGCTAATACATGAGAGAAAATAATCATTATATACAATATGCGAAGGAAGCAAATTAAAAAAGGAACAAATATGTGAAATGAAACATGGTTGGATGTATGATTTCAAGATAAACGTATATATTATGAAATTGAACATAGTGATACATACAGAGTAAGTTTGAAGGAAGGAGAAGCAGAGGCAATACAAGCATGTAATTCTTTCACTAAACCCCTGGGACCAGTTTTAGGCAGTTAAAACCAGATTACTTGTACAGGAGTTATTTTTTTTGTTAAAGCTCTTGTTCAAACAAACCATAATTCAGTCATGAACAGGTGTCAATAACCTTTCATTTCATTTCATTTCAATCATACACAAGAAGAAAAAAAAGTTGAATGAATATTAATGTCAATTAGAAAAATGCATCGATATTACTTGTTCCATTTGAGAAAAAAGAAAATTTACAAGAATGTGTCTGATATTATAAACAGTATCGGTACATAAATCAAACAGCATCGAAACTGGTACTGACTTTACGTTAGGTCTTCAAGCATTTTAAAGCGCCAGGGTACTGACACTAGGACACCATTGAAACTGTTACTGACACTTGTTCAGTAACCAAATTTAGGTCTTCAAGCATTTTAAAGCATTAGGGTACCGAGACTAGGACAGCATTGAAACTATTACTGACACTTGTTTCGGAACTGAATTAAGGTCTTCAAGCATTTAAATGCGCCATCTACGTACAAGGTAAACCATCTACACAAACATGCTGCAGCTAAATAAAGTGATGTCACAATATTGTATTGTCTTCAAGTTTGTGTATCTTAATCATCTTTGAACATTCCAGGCAGCTAATTGTTTTTTTTTGGGGGGGGGGGTTCTTCCCCAGATCCCAACTGACAAATCATTAAACAAAAATGATATTCAATTTGCTGTAGCATATTTCAAGACAGTTCCAATGTACCTGCTTCATGTGTCTACAAGGTTTAAAAGACACAAAGGATATGTGAATATAAAACAAATAAATCCCTAATAAACTCTAGCATTGGTTTCATTTAATGCTATTTCTCTGTATCTGTGTTTTGTGGCCCAGTGTACCTAAGTAACTGCTTGAATCCATAGATTGATTTGTTAAAAGATTGTTTTCAATCAAAGAGAAAAAGGGTCAAACACATAAAAACATATAAAGTATGGTATTCAGCAAAAGTAAAAAGCAATAGAGAGAACAAAGAAGAGATGGCTGAAACTGAAAGATGAAATACAGAGATCTTATATATGCCACAGAGAGAGAGAGAGAGAGAGAGAGAGAGAGAGAATGGGCAGATGATTGAGGAGAAACAGACTGAGTAACAAGATTATACAAGAGGCAAAACTCTCAGAGACTTCAAGAAACTAAGTGAGAGATAGAAGGATGAGAATAATAGAGGGATTTTGAAGAAGAAAAAAAGCAAAATCACAAAAAGTGAGAAAAAGAGAAAAGCAGAAAACTAAAATCCAACCCTGTCCAATAAAGAGAAATGTAAAACAAAGTAAAAGAAGAGGAAATAAAAAGAAAGTTTGGAGCAATGCAAATCACTCCATCTATGATATGAACAATGCATGTACACCAAGGTGAAATAATATCAACGAATTAGAAGTTGTTAATTTTTTTTTAAACATTGAATAATTTGGTATTGCACAAAAAAGCACAAAAAAAGAAAAGAAAGGAAATTATTTCCTGGTGCCATATAAATATTTATACACACAAGAGAAGAGTGGGAGGGGGGTGGCTAGAGGTAAAACAAATATGACTATACTTCATATGTTTGTTTTAGGGATATCTAAAAGAAGTACCGGTATGGTATTAACCTTAACCATGACAATGTTTTTACATCACTGAACAGTATTTGTGTTCTTATCTATTTTTCTTCCTAGCAAACTATTAAACTTCATAAAACACATTTATATTCTACTTCAGGGGGAGGGGGAGGGGGGGGGGGGGGGGGGGGTAGCAGACAAGCAAATTTAGATATAACCTCTCCATCACTAGTTGCTTATGGCAGGTGTTTTTTTAAAGTCCCCACTCCCTTCTCAAAATATATGTAATTCAAAATACATACAATTGAAAATTTTAAATCATTCAAGTGAGAACAAAGTAATATATTTTCAAGTAATTGTAAAACATTTGGATGGGTATCCCCCCCCCCTCTAAAATAAATTCACTTGCAAGGATGCATGCATCATTCCTCAGCAAAACCAAGCTAATGAGAGGAGTTAGGGTATGAGATCTACATGTAGGTAGGGAGCCAGCATGTCTTCACCTTGTCAAGAATAAAAGATAGACGCACACATTGGTCATCAAGGGTTATTCTTAGAGCCAAGCAATGACTCAGAGAATAACAAGTTTGATCAAGATGATTCTTGGTAGGTCATAGGTCATCAGACTTGCTCGGGCTGAATATCAAATATACAATCAGAGACTTGATCGGGATGATTTTCGCTACTTGATCAGAAACTTGCTCGGGTTGTTTATCTTTTTAAAGGTAGTGTATCCCATTTGCAGCCAACATCAAATTCTCTAGAGCTTTAAAGTCTTATCTGTGAAATTTAATCGTTAAAAGTGTCCTAATATTCAAATCCTGCAAGGAAACCTGTTTTTACTTCTCTGTCAGACACTATTGAGTGACTGACTGACTTTTTTTTCTTCTTTGGTAATGACATACATAAAATGAGCTGTAAAGGGTAGATTCTGTCGATCTACATCAATAACCCACTTGTTGTAATGGCCAAAATTAAACTCTTTGAATATTTGCGAAGCACTCGCTAATTCGATTTGACAACTAATAGTCTTTATTTTCGCACAAAAAGACACTTTCAAGCCCTTTGGTTTTGAGGGAAGTTCTAAATTAGTATCTTTCAAATCCTGTTGGAATTTAACCTTTTCACTTGTTTGGCCTGCAAATGGGACATAGTACCTTTAAAGTATAATAGTTGAGAGATAGAAAATGTCGTTCCAGCAACCTGAGAAAGATAAATCAGGAAAAAAAATGATTAGTTGGTAGCGGACAATGTGATCACTGGTGTGATGAGGCATGGTGGTGAAGTGTGTAGCCTTCCAACTTCAAGGTATAGAATAGTTTCCTGTGATAAAACAAAATGAATGTATAGAAAAGGATTATAAAGATGGAATGTACAACAAGGGTTACTTCAATTCATGTACTATACCGGTATCTACAGACACTACTACTACTTGTACACACATTAACCCCTCTGATAGGGGCTTTAAAATCAACTTGAGGTATATCAAGTTACACATCCTTAACAATGAAAAGTGGAATATCTCCCATTATATACAGGCAGAACATTTTATGTTACATGAAAGTATATGAAGAATCTTTCCAAAAAGAGTGCACAAATGATTAGAATTAGGTAAAACTTATTGATGATTTTGAGCCTGATATCAGCATACATATAAACCAAGCATATGATGTGTAATATGTGAATGGATCAACACTTTTCATGAGTATCTTGTTACCTTTTGCCCCGTTTCATTCTTAATTGAAAGTTTTTTTCTGTTCTTGCACAAACCTAGCATGCAGCATCAAAGTATCTCAATAGCTGTCTCTCATAAAATCTCAAGACAAAATAGGAACTCAAAGTACATTCATTGGGTCTAGTACTCCCTAGTTCTCAGCCCTTGATAAAGTATAAAGATTTGAAGAAAAAACGATATGAAAAATTGTGCATTTAATTTGATCTGGCAGTATTACAAAGTAGATGTTTTAAGAATTGTTGCAAATAATTATACCCATGAAAGTTGCTCATCCATCCACACAACTGTATAAATCATTGCTCTACCAACAGATACCAGACCTGATCAGGACCTGATAAATATGAGCCAAGTCCTCACCTTGCCAGACGTAGCAACACCTTTGAAGAGACAGAAGTAGACCAGGACCCAGGCTAACAATAATAGACCAAACAGCTCCCAGCGCATGCCATTTGGTTCATCAATTCCACCACTGATCTGCAGTACTCGGTGGCTGTAGAATCAATCAAGGAAATCATTCAATATGACAAATAATAATAATAATAAAAACGTTACTTATAAAGCGCTTACCACCGAAGTCTCTAAGTGCTACACACACTTCTCATATATGAGAGTGTGATATAAATGGCAGTGGTGCTTTTGTTCCCAACTGGTCATTCATGAATGCCATATTATAAAGAATCTGAACTTGAAGTTCATGCACTAGTATAGTGATATGTCAGGTAAGATGTGCTACTGTTTGGTCATCAACTGTCTGAAGCATCATGCCTAGCTTAAGGCCAGGGCAATAGAGCAATTTGAATGCACATACAAGAGCGGTGCGTTTTGTAACTTTTCGATTTTGACCTTGCCCCTTATTTTGATCTACCTGTCCTGCACATTCCATGACTGAAAAATCATAACAAATGGGATATCATTTTACAAAGTAAGTAATAAACTCACTTTCCAATGATACTAAACATAGCGATGGTCATGCCATGATATAACAGCTACAGTATAATCGATCATACTTGAGTTTCCAAACTTTTTTTTAGGGGTTTAAGTAGTTCCATTGAGAAAGAATGTTGCAAGGACAAATCTCATCTTTCTCAATTTCCTCTGAAGTAATTCAATGAAACAGTTCTGTTTGCTGTGAGCTCATTAAGATCGAGTAGTATAATTACTGTTTAAAAAATTAAAAAATTAAAAACTTACTCAAAGTACTCTTGGGTAGATGAAATGGATCCATTAGGTTGAGTCTCATTAGGACCCAGATTAAGGTAGTCATCTTGGGACCAGCAATCCTCCGAGTTCCAGGTCATATTACATTGAGACCATGGTAACACACTCTGGAATGAGGCAAAGAGGTAGAACAGGGCCCAAGTCATGATCACATTGTAGTAGGTTGTGAGGAGGAATGTGATCATCACAGTTGCTACACCAGTACCTGCAGGTGAGAAAAGAAAAACAATGGTGCAACTTAAGTTTTAAAAACCTTTATGACAAGAAACATTTTATGTGAGAAGTAATCACAGTGCCTTCTTTTCATTGCCCAATGATACATGGATCTACTTCATAATTATGCATTCATTAAAAAAAAATTAAGACATACTATTATCTGTCCAAATCATAAGATGCCATCTTGAAATGTGAGTCCGTAAAACTGCTTACGTGATGTGAGTGAAAGGTTTATACACTTTCTTAGAATCTATACAAGAAAAGGATAAGGTATGAATTCTTTATAGATTTGTTTGTGAATTCGGTATATATAAAAGACATATGGACTGCTATGATATTCCAAGCATAGCTGTTTCTATACTGGCTCTCAGGGACGTTACATCCTGCTATGATCCTGAGGCGAGCCGAGGGCCTATAGAAACAGCGATGCCTCTCATAGCAGTCAATGTATCTATAGAATAACTTTGTTATTCAGAAAGCTTGGTCTATACTGTATGCTATTTTAAGTTTAATGTCATATCCGTGCTCAAAGCAAGTAGGCCTACATGTATGAGTATGTTCTCATACAGTGTGCCAAAAACTAAGACACAGTCACTTCTATTGTCTTTTTTTTTTAGAAATACAGTCACAAAGAAGCAAACAGTTTGTGCCCTACATCTCTTACTGTAGATCTAGACACGTTTTCATAAATTATTGTTTACTCTGTAAATCCCACACAAACACAAAGATATCGATCGTATTTGTACTGGACTGTAACTGGTCAATAGATTTGACCTTACTCAGGGAGTTTATTAACCAAAGCAATGAACACCTTCTGTAGCATTGTTCACCCTAACCTAAATCATAATGAATATGACCTTTATAAATTGTCACCCTTTCAGGACTGTAGGCTGTTTGTATAATGCCCATATTTGGCCTAATACTTGTGGGTAAAACTTTGGTTGGTTGAAGTCTGCTGATGTGTAACACTGTCTATACATCACACATATTAAAAAAGAACCCTTTTTTATAACTTGTCTCATAGCAAAATAAAATCATAAATCTCTCTCTTCCCTCCCCCTCTCTCCCCATCCCCTCTCTCTCCCACCCTCCCCCTCTCTCTCCCACCCTCCCCCTCTCTCTCCCACCCTCCCCCTCTCTCTCCCACCCTCCCCCTCTCTCTCCATCCTCTCTCTCTCCCACCCTCCCCCTCTCTCTCCCACCCTCCCCCTCTCTCTCCCTCTCTCTATATAGTAAATTCCTACTGTCTTACAAATGTGAAATATCATTCAATAACATTTACAACAATCAGTTTGTTTGTAGGAAGATTTATCTGTGTGCATGTGTAAAGCTAAAGGTCATTTCCAGCTCAAAGAATGTAATTTTTATGCACACCTTTAGCCAAAATAGTGACAAAGACACCAGATTCTTGCAATATTCATTTTGTTTGATTTATATAGTAATAAAGAAGCATACAGTATCAGCCCTAAGTTTATTTTTGTAATGTACATGTAGATCTAGATGCATTTTATTAATTATTGTACACGGTACTCAGTAGATCACACAAAAACACAAATACGAAAAGATATACATGTGTATTTGCATTTGATTTCTGAAGATACGAGTTTTAAGATGTGTACTGGACTGTAAACTGACCAATATGATTTGACCTCACACACAGACTTGTTATCATTCATCACACCAATATACACTTTCTGTAGCAGTGTTAACCTTATCTCAATATCATGTTCAGACTATTTATATAATATTGGATGGCTTTGAGTGTGATACAAGAATACGTTGTCATGGTGAGAGTGGACAACATTTGCCATGTTGCCCTCTTCTAGGGTTTTCCCCTTGGACCACTGTACTAAATCAGAGAGCAACATTCTGCCATATTCCATCAGTGCGCTTGCGCAGTAGGATTCAATTTTGATCGCTAATTTCAATTCACCCGGTCAGCTGAGAGCTGCCATGGGAGAATGTAAAATCCCATACAGATACTGAATCACAGACGATCGCGAACGCAAACAAAGATGGCCGCCTCCAGTAGTAAGCGGGAGGTTTAAAGATAAAGACCAGTTCTGGTCATGCGATTGCATTGTGAAAGAAACATTGTGGAATCGATCAGAAAAGGTTGATCATCTGGCATATAAGTATTGGTGTGTACTGCAAGGTTCTGGAATCATCAAAATGATAAGAAATTTGGCCCAGTCTTGGTAGGGTTACAAGCACTGTACACAGAAAGATGTATATGGGACCACGTGACACATGTGAGATATCTATCCGGTCCAAATAGATATAATAATTTACCAAATATATCAATTAGTAGGAGGTTTCTCGGCAAAATTTGTACCATCAGGTATTAGTCAAAACATGTTCTTTCACATGATTGGTATAAATAAGAGCTTCCATTTCATTTTTTGAGAGGGGGCATTTCCAAAACTGGTCTTTACCTTTAAAGACTCAGAGAACACCAAAAAAAGCCACGAAAGGAGCAGTTGGATTATTCTGTGTATATTTAGTGAAAAAAAAGGGCACCCCACTGATTCTGAGGCACTGGACAAAAATGAACTACCGGCTATTTTGTCCAATATTTATCTCGAAGTAAGGAAAGCTGACAGAGAATTCTACAAAACCACCTCACTCAATGGCATCTGCGCTGGCCGTAATTGGTACCAAAGTTGTATATCATTTGTAAAAAGAGCCTAGTATAGGTAATAATAGTTGCATGTATATTGACAGGGCTTCTTTCGGGGTGCAAGCCCAGTCAATACAATATCATAATTGACATAAAAATCATCTGAGACCGATGCTTCATTGAAAGATTTTTATCTTGGCTTTTTAGTAATAAAAGATCTAGATTAAATTATCTTATTTCTCCCATCTCTGATTTCTAATTAATCAAATATTGACAGAATTTTTTCATTTTTTTCCATTTAGGATCTCCATGCTCACAGGCTAATGCATTCCCAAAGTATGTAGAAACTATACTCTAGCATACATGCAGCTGTCTAATGATTGATACTAATAGGCACTGGAAAACAGAGCTTTTCAACACATGAGGCCTGTCTTCACTATCTCAAGATCGCCAAATATCCAGCTATTTGAACTACAGGTATCCCGATCGCAAACTATCCAGCAAATTTGCGTCTTCAGGCTTACAAGCGAATACTCGAATATTCGGACGCCATGTTTTTTAATAATTTTTTTGAATTTTTTTATTTAAATTTTTTTTTTTTTTTGATTTTTTTTTGCCACCACCATACCACTGGGGCAGTATCCCAGGTCCATCACTGAAAACGCATGCCATTTTGCCTCGAGTTGCAGTTGAAGGCGCTGATTTAATAAAAATAATAACAGTAAACAATGCTGTTTTAAAAACCAAAATAATCCATTTTCCTCCAATTCCAAACAGAAATCCAGACATTTGGACCCAGTTTCTGAGTGGTGAATTTGACAGTGCTTGAGTTGGGAAACATTTTTACCGATGGTACCATGCCAGCGGCCGCAGCTCTCCCTGGCACGGGTAAGGGTCGGCCTGGACCAGGATTTTTTTTTTTTTGCGGCCGAATATTTGAGTACGAGAAATCATACTCGAGCAGTTGTCAACAGTGCGGGTACTCGAGCAATTTGACTACTCGTCGCAGCCCTACTGCTTGCTGTCAATGTCATGGCTACAGCTTATCATCTGGACAGCACTTAGCCTGATAGCATCCTGAAACCTGCTGTTAAATGACGACACTCACATTATTTCTAGGTTTACATGTAATTTTTAAGATATTCTTAAGAAATCTAGACAATAAAGTCAACGAAATCTTGAATAAAGTAATAATTTCTATCTGCTTTGAGCCGCTGGCGGCTAGATCACTTGATCTTCATGCATGCCCGTTGAATTAAGGACACACCCTAGTTTACAGGCACAAACACTTTCCAGTCGTTGTGCGTAACAGCGTCTGCGCTACCAGACTGTAACAGGCTCTTCTGTCTTAATTTGAAACAGCTAGAAACTGATAGATCTAGGCTCTGCTCAAGGCTCAAATTAAGAGTGTGTGCTTGTAGCCTAGACAAACCCTGGCATTATTCATTACCGTATTAAAGGACAATTATCCAACCCTTGTAATAAGTTGGATAGTGGTGGTTATTTTACCTGATGGCTAAGAAAGCATAAATGCTTGTTAGTATAAAGCAACCAGAGGACTGACGGCTTTAGGTCCTTTTTGATGGACCTGGTAATGAGGATTAATGCCTTACCAAAGGGCACTAGCGCATCCACTTGGTTTCGAACCCGGGTCACCGGATTACGAGACCACTGGTCTACCGACTGAGCTACTATGCCTTAAGTTTATTTGTATGAAAGCAGAAAAATAACAAACAGAATGTTTTTTTCATAAGTTCTCAAAACTCAAAACATATAATAGACCTGTGTGTCCTCTAAAAAGAATATACCCTGCTGATATATTTTGAAAATTTTAGTCATTTTATATGTTGGAACAGATGGGGAAGTAGTCCGCCACTACATCACATTGACATTACCTCTTCAACTAATTTGAAGTGCCCATACGTACAGCGATTATAACTTTCAAGAATTCATAACTTTCTTATATTCAAGCAGATTTAATTGAAACTTTCATCAGTTTCCTCCTCTGATTCGTCTGCTTTCTTCTAGAGTGATTGTCTATTTGGGTAGGATTTCCCTTTAACTGACAGCTCGTCTGCAGGCGAACAAACTAACCATGAGAAGAAGGCTTTTCTTGTAAGGCAACAATTCACAATGGATATATATAGGCATTCAGTTTAGAAAGAAAGAACAGAATTCAATACCAACGCCCCCTACAAAGGAATTGAACTAAAATATTCCAGTGGGGCTATTGTCATTCACTGACACTGTGAAAGAGCTCTTCTCTTGGGAATTCTATTGATTACCAACAAAGTAAGCTGCAAGTATAAGATACGACTACCACACTGGGATGGTCTATCAGCTACAAAGATAGGAGTGATGATAGTCAC